CATCACCATGATGATCACAAGGCCCATCAACCTCATTGGACGCCCCCTGAGCCTGGTCATTCGTGTTTTCAACATCCTCATGGTTTCCCTCAGCACCGGCTTCACCAGCTTTGGGAACACCCTTGCTTTGCCACTTTGCATGCCACTGGTTGCTAGATGCTCTTTTGGCTTGTTTGCGTCGTTCCAACTCTGCAGCCTTGCTCTGAGGGGTCATGTCCTTCAAGAAGGGTCGCTTTGTTGGCGGACCTTGTGGAGGTTCCTGTGGCGGATCTTGTGGAGGTACAGCAGGAGGTTCCTGTGGCGGATCTTGTGGAGGTCCACCAGAAGGTTCCTGTGGCGGATCTTGTGGAGGTCCACCACAAGGTTCCTGTGGCGGATCTTGTGGAGGTCCAGCAGGAGTTTCCTGTGGCGGATCTGGTGGAGGTGCACCAGAAGGTTTCTGTGGTGGATCTTGTGGAAGTCCAGGAGAAGGGCCCTGCAGCGGATCTTGTGGAGGTCGAGCAGAAGGCTCCTGTGGCGGATCCTGCGGAGGAAGAGCAGAAGGCTCCTGTGGCGGACCCTGGTGAGGTCCATGGTCACCCTGGCTGGAATCTGTGTTCATGGGTCCACTTGCCATTGCGCTGACTGTTGAAGGTGCATGCGTCGGATTGCCAGCATCATTGTTTTCGCCCTGTGGCACCATCTCTGGAGTCTGTTGGAATGTAGACCCTCCATAGGGATCTTGGAAGGTACCGGCAGCGGTACTCTCGAGCATGAGGCTGTCACTGTGCTGATGGTCGATGAGCCTGCGCCGAGTGCTGATGAGGGATTCTTCGCTGACTTGTTCTTGTGATTCACGTTCGTCCTTCAAGTTGCTATGTTCAAAAACAGGCTGATACTTTAAAATGCTATCAATATCTTAGTTAGACTGCATGGGAGTGGGTGACATTATGTAGATTGTATATAGGCTTTAACATCCATATTGATCACCCACAGTCCTGAGGGGTAAAGAGCTTTCTGGTGTACTCGGGACTCAGGGGTCTTCGTAGAGCAGGGCGACGAGGGGTCGGAGTCGCCTGTCCCACACCAGGGACTTCCACAGGCTGTCCCAGACCAAGGGGCTCGACAGGCTGAGCAAGTTGACCTCCGAAGCCAAATGCTGGCCAAAGCACACCAATAGACACATTGGCGTCCCCAGAGATAGAATGAAAACCTTGATCTCCAGGAGATGGCTCTACAAACTCAATGTCATCCTCTACCCACTCCGCATCCATGGGCACGTGGAGCGTCGACAGATACACGATGAACAGACTTAAATCTAACTTCCGATCCAAAACTATACAACCAGTGAGGATACACAGATTACACCCAGAACAGGTTTGACATGCATGGCAGACTTCGGAAATCAACGCTTCGAGATGTTGTGGGTTGAACTAGACTCCGAACAAACCCGGAATGGCCTGACTTCAGATTGGATCGTTTTTCTCACCGTTGCAGGTCTGCAGATCAGATGGGGCACTCGAGGTGCGGGATCTCAGCAGACTGGCGCAAAACCTGAGTGTCCTCTGCACTCGAGCTGATGGCACACCACTGGAGAATTGAAAGGTCACAGTAATCTATTCCAAACATTGATTACGTTATAGTAAAACATTTGTGACAAGAGGGCAGCAGTTTGGCCAGTTCACCTAGCTCACACCACCCGCTGCACTGACCCCTTGGCCATATTCAAGGTGGTGGTCAAGAACCACATGGGCTTCGCAGCCCCGAGCGTCTTCTCAGGCTTGTACGCCCGCAAACGCCACACCTGGACGGGAGGGATGGGAGGGGGGCACAAATCCGCTGGGAAGCTGAATGGCTGGGAAGCCAAACCACTAACTAATTTAGATTCAAGAGGGCTCGGAAGCCCACTAGATGCCAATTAGTTTTTTTATACAAGAAGGGGCTGGGGAGCCACTGAATCATTGGGAAAGATGAAGCACGTGTGCATTCTTAAACCCGCCTTCTTCAGGGTCGATGAAGCCTCCAAAAGGCTTGACAAAAAGAAACTTGCAGCATTTGTCGCTCGCAGCCCGGAAATCTGGAGGTTGTTGGGGCGCCAAACCATGCAACTGCCAGGCTTCAAGCCCACATCAAACCTTAGGGCTGTGATTTATTTTAAGTCAAACCCAAAGATGGAACAAGGAGTAGTGATTTCACAACTATTGAAACCAAAAAGGTTGCATAATGAAAAACCGAGCCCGAGAAGATTTAAGGTGAGGAGCTGATCTCCAGACTTCCCTTGGACCACTGCTGCAGGTCGGGAAAAAAGAATGGCCCCCGAGCTCAAAGTCAACCATCCCGGCTGCTTCACATTGCTGGATCACCCCTCGCAATGTCTTGAGGTCACCGTCGTGACCACCCTCCTGCAGTAAAGCTAATTAATGACACTGCCAAAACTGGAGCCCAGAGGTTGGAATCTCATTTGATTTGGACCAAATATAATATACATATATATGATACAAATCGAAAAATGTTGGTCTCCCCACTCACCCTCCCCACCCCACAGACAAGTCCCGCCTCCAGCACCACTGGAACCAAGTCAGATTGAAATTTGCACTCCACGGCCTTGTGCCCATGCTCGGAGTTCTCGGACAAGAAGCTCTCCGCCTTGCTGTCGAGAAGCCATGTCCCAGCTCCATACGTCAAGAAGGCCTCGTCAGCCGGCAATGTATATGCCTCGTGTGCTTCGATGAAGAGCTTGAACTTTGGAGGCGCATCAGATTCTGAAGATTGCCCATCCCCCACGATGTAAGCAGTCAGTTCCGGGCACCATGAGAACTTGCCCTGAATGAGCCCGTCGTACTTCGTATGCCACTGCTCAGCAGCCCTTGGCTCATCGAAAGCAGTTTCCCAATCAAAGCCAGGGGTTGCATTTTGTGGAGCAGGCTCAGGCTCACCACTGCCCGCACCACCAGCCTCAGTCACAGAAGGCCCTGCAGGCACGGGCGCTGATGTTCCGAAGCACCTGTCGAATTCTTGAAGAATCTTTCTCCACTCTGGGCCCCTGATGGGGTCTGACAGGAACTCCGAGCGGATGTTGCGAGGCAAGCACAAAGTACCATCAACCATGGAACACACTGTCAAAGTTGGCTCCGCCGGATCAGAAGGCATCACTTCCGCATTGGGCTCAGAAATATAGCGGGGCAGCCTGTCAGCCATCGCTCCACTACCCTTCTTCCACTGATCGAGAAGGGCGGACTTGGTGAGCTTCAAGGACATGGTGAAGTGGGTTTGCTTCTCACTTTGGGACACACATGGCAGCCCCTTGCCAACACACACCTTCTCGAGGCATCCGTCGTAGGCGGTGGAGTTCACAACAACTGTTGCCTTCATCTCTACCCCACTGCCTCAAACTGTGGAAAGTTATCAGTGATAATGTTGCAATAAACGAATCGAATGGAATCCCAAAATGATATCAAACTTGGTCTTGAAAAAATGAAAATCACATTTCCATGTCCAAGAGACAGGCCAGCAGATCATCAAGAATGAGTTGAGGTATTTGGTCACCCCCAAGCCATTGGCTCGTCTCCTGGCAATCTGTGTAATTGCGGCGGCCTTCCGCGCTGGATGCAACAATGCTCAGCCCCGGGATGACAAATTGACTTTCGTCAATTGCACGGGCAGGTGATGACACCACCTGATTCTGCCACAGCTTCGAGAAGCAGAACACATTCACGTCGTCGCGATCCACCTTGAACAGCAAAGTGCAACAACATGACGGCCAAGCATTGGCATACTGATTCTTCCCAAGTAAATAAATATTGGTTCACATGTCAAAGTGTTCACACCCCTGGCCTTTCCGGCGGTTCTGTTCGCCCTGTGAGCCGTTCCCTGGGATGGGAGGCACATGTCTGCGACGCACAAATAGTAGAAGAACCCTCCTGGCATCGTTCGGTTGTGATGCAACCCAGAGAGGTCCATGGGCAAACAAAAGCTGCGAAACTCGATCTTGTAATCGTTGAGTTTGTCCTCCAGCTTCCTCGAGCAGGATCAAATGACAAAATGACATCAAACTACCAAATGAAATATGTGCAAAGTTCAAATACTTCAGGATTCAGGGATTCAACTGCTTTGCATTCGGGGTTCCGAATATCCGTCCGCAAAGCTCCACATCCAAGGGCAGATGCCAAGAGAGGAAGGGCCATGACCACACAGGTGCCTCAGGTGATTGTCTTCGACCCAGTGCCAGGCAGGCACGGAAACTTCTTTCAGAAGCACTATTTAAAAACCACCAGCACTGACTGACAGACTGCACATTACTCTTTTAGCAGTCTAGGAGCACAGTGGGTTCTTGGCAATGAGCTTCTCACACCACTGTCCCACCTTGTTGATGTCCTTCTGGGTGACGACACCAATTTTGGTCAGATCAACCCAGCCAATCACGTTGACCTTTTCCAGCGCCACCTGTGCAAAACGCGGAGGGATTAGAAATTGCAGCGCAGCTATCTAAAGCTTACAAATATATGACTAAAAGAATATCGTACTGCCATCATCATCATTTTGATTTCAATTCATGGTGAGACCAGCACCTGATTGCGAGCCGCAGTAGCACGCAACATGACATCCACTTCAGCCGGCATACTCCAATCAGCCACCAGCCCCATCCAGCAATGATTCTGCATGAAATCCATGACCACCCTCAAGCAAACATGCAAAGACATTGCGATTTCAAGCAGCTCACTTAAAAGGATGAAACAACTCAAAAGTGCAAGGTTCAGTGAAGCAAAACATCACCAACCAGTCGAGTGACTTGGATCCAGTCTCATTCTGAGCTTTCTCATGAAGCACCTTGGTCACGTGTTGCTTCCCAGCAACCTGTGACTTCTCGGAATTGAAGGCATTCATTGCCTTGCAATCTGCCGCGAGCTTGACCTTGATCTCCGCAAATTTTGCAGCAGAGGCTTGCTCTTGGGCCGCAAGCACGTCCACGGATTCCTCTCCTTGCAAGCTCGCCGGCAACATCGGAGGCTCCACCAAGTCACTCCAAACAATCAATGATCGCAACTGAAATGAAGGGTTCTTGCTTGTGACCACTGCTTCAATGTCCTGGAAGTAGTCCCTGCAGCTACCACTGATCACACAGAAGAAAATGACAGTGACATCAAGTCCTGTAGATGATATCAATGACTGACCCTGTCTTTAGTTACACTGAAACCATTTGAAGTTGCCTTCCCAGTCCCAGTCCATGTAAACATCAAAACTTGAATGAGGAGTTGATTGATCAACAAGCAAAGCCACCAAACGCCCACAAGACACCTGGCCATGAAAGCCTCCAACAGCTTCTCATCCACCTTGGGGTCAGAGGTCGCTGTCTTGGCGCTCTGCCGAAGAAATGCGAACATGCAGGAATAGTCGACCAACTTGTCAAACTCTTCCGGAGAAATGCGAGCCCTACCACGCTGAGTAGGCTTAACACGCCTGGTCGCCTGCAAAAAGCGCTTGACATGGAGCTGCATCAACATGGTCTGCGACTCTGGCGTGACCACCAGGGCTTCATGCAAAGACTCCGGAAGGCCTTTAGGTCGGGCACCTAGCAGCCATCGCGAGCCTTTCAGGAGATCAGTGCTGAACGCGCTCTCGCGCCATTTGGCGAAGGCTAGATGTTGAGACATCACGTCCCGTGTTGCCTGCCGACACTTTAAACGTTGAGTTTCAACAATGAATCTGACACAGCGCTGTCATTCAGTAGTTGAAAAGTGCATAATATCACATATCAACGCCAGCAACATGACCCCTGATCATACATGGTTCTAAGTGAAACATATTATTAGCCTTTGAGCAGGTTGCCTTCATGCATGATGGAAAACACAAAATATTGCACAAAACCCACCTTGCAAGTCCCAACGATTAGGTTCAGAATGGTCCGCTCCTTCTCTGAGTCGACTTGGTGCTTCACATGAAGTCCGTCGCTCTCGTTGAACTGCTTGATGACTTTCTTGAGCCTTGACTCAGTATTGCCAGACATCGTGGTAGCCTGCCGCTCCATGATGACTGAAAAGCGGAGAGCCATTTGAAGAACACTTGGAGATTGCCTTTCTGCTCCACGAAAGCTGAGGCTCATGTTCCGGAAAGACTGCTGATCCTTGCTCATGCCAATCACAACCTTAGATATTGCAGAGAGGCTGACTGCGCTCTGCACTTCATGTTTCGAACTTCATTGAAGTTGAATAAAACTGATTTGATCAACCCAACGTTTTAGCGTGATGTCCTTTGTTTAGCTGAGAAACATGCATTGGAAGCAACCAGGCCCTATCCAGGACCTTTTCTAAAGGCTTCACAAAAGCCTTGGTGGATTCCTCTGAGGGGTCAAGCTCCGACACTGCCAGCATGATCCACACCACTGAAGTTGCCCTTGTCCAGCCCTTGACAATGTCCACGGAGTTCAAATGCACTGCCATGCTCCCTGAACCTTGGACGCCAGTAAAAGGATGTGATCCACTCACTTCAAAGCCAACAAACATCATCATTCACCATCATCATCATCACAAAATGAAATTCCAGCATGCACGACCGACGGCGACAAAATGAATCTTCCAATGATTGTCTTATCAAAGAATGTGCAATGCAATCCATGCCCTATTTCGTGATAAATCCAGCCAATGTTCAAACATGTTCAATCTACAATGCAACTGTTGAAGATGACCTCAGCCTCACACCTCACAAATGTTCAGATGTTTACACGTTGATGCACAGAAGCTGAGACACTTTTTGAGCACTTGGCAGGCGCACAGCCATTCAGCACATCTGTCAGCAAGCCTCTGAAGGCGCGCAGCCTTTCAGTGCACTTCTGTCAAAATTGCACTAGGATACATGGCCCCCTTTTCAAGGGCCTGGTCACTCCTTGCTGAAGCCACCCTGAACTTTTGCAGGCTCACCCTGCTCAAATGATGGGGAAGGCGCTGCGGCTTTCGCTGTTTGCTTCTCCACTGCTACCTGCTGAGCATCGAGCTCCATGGCCCATTGATGGGCTTCCTCCATCGTCAGGTCAGCCTTCGTGTCAGAGCAAGAACCCTGCCCACCCCACTCTTCATTCCAGTCGCCGTCCTCCTTCCACTTCTCCTCCCATTCCTCACTTTGAGCTTCAGTCTTCACATTCCATGTGCGCCACGCGTCGCTGAAGCGTTTGTCAACCCAGCGCCACTCGCCAGTGCGGGGGTTCGTCTCGAATTCACCTTAGTTAAAAAATATGAAGGAACTAAAAGGAAAAACATATTTCTTTATTTCTAGAAATCAATCAATTAGATTTTTATTTAATAGGGGGCTTCCCAGCCCAGGTAGAATAAGGAGCTTCCCAGCCCCATGTAATGAATGATGGCTTCCCAGCCCAGGTAGAAAAAGGAGCTTCCCAGCCCCATGTAATGATTGATGGCTTCCCAGCCCAGGTAGTGTATAAGGAGCTTCCCACCCCTCTGTGATGAATGATGGCTTCCCAGCCCAAAGAGCTTCCCAGCCCCATGTGTTGAATGATGATTAAATGCAGTCAGGGGGCCTTCCAGGCAGTTGGCATCAACCCCCACGGAGTATTGCCGACACTGCCGCCATGACTGCACCCAATCTTGGTAGGATTTCCCACGCCCCTTCGCAGTGGTTTGGTACATGAAGCGGAGTTGATCCCGTTGATCTCTCGTGTTTCTGTCCAAGTGGGATCCGCCATTGCCGCCACCATAGGATGAAGGCTTTTGGGCGGGGGCGTTGCCAGGCATCATGGCAAAATACAATTGGGAGCGGAATCGGAACCAGTCCACACCCACCAGCTTGGGCCAAAGTTACCCTATTGTCGTCCCTGTCTAAGTCAGTGAGATGACACGAAAGGCTGGCATCATCATCATCATCACCGGCATCACACCGAAGTGCAGTCGAGAAGCTGTCTGGGATTGTGTGTGGGACCTCAGGGTGCAAAGGGTGGAATAGCACAGCACACTGTCACAGACACGAGAATCTAACTTCACGCTTTGATTGACAATCATGACACGAGACACATGGCTAAAACCCTTGGCTGGAAACTTGGCCCCCCACACAAACGTCAAGAGGTTCTCGTTGCAGTTCCAATCCATCCAGCAAGATCGAAGTGCAAGTCTGGACCCAGTCTTCGATGGACGGCAGCCCATCTTCCGGGACATCGAACCTAAGAGCATCGTTCGTTTTCGTGTTCCTTTAAAATCACCAGGGTGGCAATTTTCCTGTTTGCTTCTTCCAGAAGTGGGCATAGATCACATGTTGTTTGATCCATTCTAAGCCAAGCGGCTTCAAAGCTGTCAAAGGCAGCTTCAGGACCTCACCAGTGCTCGAATTAGGATCAATCACCTTGGAGGCCAATAACATGATTGCGACTGAGGATTGAATACTCATGTTGACATTCAAGTGGAAGCATGAATTTGATTGTGCATGAGTTTGCTTCCAACTTTAACGATCAGCCCTGGACAGTGCTTTTCATAGGATAGAAAGCCTTTGCCTTGATGTCCTGTTGATCTGAATAGTAGGCTTCAAACCAATTCTCAATTTGCATCATAAAAGCGCCAGCGTTGGGCCCACACACGCAATCGAGAGCATGTTGCACAGGGTGCAAGCAATCCAGATTGGTCCCTTCAGAGATGAACTGTGAAAGATGTTGGATCAACTCCTGGCTGGACTACATGACACGTGGTTTGAAGGATAATGGCTCAGAATGAAAAACTGATCAGCTATCATCCCCCGGGTTGTTTTGACAATCCCTGAAATCAAAACAAATTTTGACAGCCCCTTGAAATAAGAAAAAATGCTTTTGTTGCAAAAACTCGGTCCTTGACAAAAGAAGTGTCGCCCTTCATGCCCTTAAGTTTCCTCTCCAGCTCAGAAGCCAACTTCTTGGCTGGAGATGGGACCGCAGAGGACGGCTCTGACTTGACAGCGTCCCCAGGCTTCAGCTTGGCACTGCTGGCCTCCAACATCTTGCACATCTTGAGGTTGCCTGCCTCCAACATGTTGCATAGAGGCGGCATGGGTCGAGTGGCAATCCCTGCCAAATCAAACCTCACTGGTTAGCACTCCCAGCTCTTGAGAGAAACATGTCACGAGATGCACGCTCAATCATAGTGCATTGATGGAACTTCCAAATTCTCGAAGCTTCATCAACCGACCTGGCGCCCCCGTGTCCATTGAAAACCCTATATGCTGGAGACCCGAGGTTGATGCCCAAGTCCATCCCAAAATGAATCATCAATCTCACCCCCCCCCAGGATAGCAGAATCAACTGACACGGAGCCACCGGATCCA